CAATGATAGTTACTGAACTAATAAATGTTTTTCATAACTAGTGTCATAAGGACACTTTTTTTTTTCAGAATTTAAAGCAAAGGAAAGCATTAGTTTTATAGTTTTGATCTTTTCTTTTCACCTTGAAAATATATTTAACTTATTAATGAGATTCCTTCATTAATTTAACCACACGTGAACACTGAATAATATATAATCTGTAAGAATCTCTTACATGTTCCTTCAATCTGCTTAACGTGGGTTGTCCTCGCACGAGAAGACTGAATAGCATTGGTCATCAAAGACAACGACAGATTCCATTTTTTGAGAAAACTTTAGATCGATACATGTATTTTGGCTTTGCACGACTCTTATGCAATCAATTGAGAATATAAGCTATAATATATATATACAAACATATTTCTATATAAACTTATATTCCTAATCTTATTAGTTAATATTTTTTTTTTATTTTGTATATCTGCATAATAATATGTGCAAGGACTTTTTTCGCCAATTCACGTACCCATTTAGCATGAAAGAATAAACAACACAAGACGAAAGTATATGGTGGAATGTTTGCATATATATAGGTTGCCTCCAATAGAAACAACAATTTCGGGTTGCTAGCCCTTAAAAAATGAATAAGCAAAAAGATTACAAGTCAGGCTCCGAGAAATGTGCTTTTCTTCTTGCTTTAGCTAACAAAACTTGTTTTTCTTCTTTCTCTATCTCTCGTTTATTATAAACAAGAACATAATAATGTATGAAAATTTTGATTGCCATAGCTAGGAGTAGGGGTGGGGAATTACGACCATGCTGTTGCAATAGCACGTTAGTGCCTTTTGTCATGTGTTGTCATATATGTTTGGTCGTGTTTAGAGACTTAGATGTCTCCCCATGCTTATCCTTTGCAGAAAGGTACAGATCTTTTCATCAAACACTTGACCGACCTTATTTTCCTTTCTTTATTCTATCTAATTGTTGGCTATGAAACGAGATAATCCTTTTCTTCTTTCCCAATACTCGGTGAGACATGCATTTAAGATTTCCAAAGGTCAATAAATCTTGGTTCAACTCTTTCCTTCCTTAAGTAGTTGCAGCTCTTAAGCAACTACAAAAAAATTCTAGAATTATAAGCTTTATAGTACTCAATATTATATGTGGTTAATTAATAATCATACAATCGTAAATAAGATAACAAAGATACTATTCTACGAAATTATTGTCATAAAACAACACACGCAATAGAAAACCAATTTAAAGGCATTTGCATTTTATCAGGTAAGTGTGATTTCAGTTAGTTGTTTTTGGACTAAGTGGGTATATATGTGGCTGTCATCGCATCTTTTGTGAAGCATTCACGTAAATTATTTTGTGTGATATAATAAATACTCCTTTATGATATATAATAATGTTGACACTGTTAATTGCTATGCATGTTTTATGAAAAAATTTAATGTTTCAAATTATTGTACATTAAATCAAATAAATAAATAGAAATATGATTACTTAAACTTTAATTTGTGCCAATATTTAGTTAAAAAAATTTAAAACTATATTGAGTAAGTAATAATAATTGTAAATAAACAATTAGGAATTACAACAGATGAAACGTGATAAGATACGTGCTAAATAGGCTAGTTATTAGAATCATTAAAACAGGAACTCTAATGTTACGGTGCATTGCCGATTAGAACATTTATAACATATACAAGCGTGCCATGCATGGAATTGGCTACATGGCATTATTTCTTGCATTGAGACAGAAAAAAGAAACATATATCATGAACGAATATTCTCGTTCCCCATCTATATATTAAAGTTATTCTATTAAGATAGCTGTTCTTAATTAGACTATTTTATTTGGTTTTTATGAATTTTCCTTTTATACTTTATATTTTTTAACTTGTCATCTTTTCTATTTTTGTATTGTATTTTATTATTTTATTATTTTTAAGAGTTTCAAGACAATCAAATTCTATTATTTTTTAATAAATTTAAAAATACATATATTAGTCTTAAATTTAAAAATAAAGATATGCATGAATAAATGTAGAATTTTTTTATTATCTTTTGAATCTTAATACAATAAGTTCTGAATAAAAGTGTATTTAATAATCGGTATAACTTTATTTGAATTTTTTTTTAATTGATAATATAATTTCATTTTATTTATGCTAATAAAGTTAATATAAAATATATTAAAATATTTATAAATTTGTAAGGATAATTTAGTAAAAAGAGATCTTATTTATTATATGATGAGATACATTCGTAACTAAATTTTGATTTTTAATTGATGCTGAATTAATTTATTAGATGGAATAATAAGTTTTGCAATGATATTACTAAAAGAGATTTCACAAATTAATTAAACTAAAAACTTTGAATAATTGAGTTTTCCCAACAATCCGTTTGAAAGCTAACATTTGTATAATATTGCTTGTAAATGTAAATAAGTTAAATGCATTGTGAAATAAAATCATATTTATTGAATTGAAAATCATGTTTGAATTATCTATATGAAAAACTACATTAAAATGTATATAATAACACTCTTAATTATTAATTATCAAATTATTTGCAAAATTGTTTTAAGTAAGAATAACTATTGATACCGTGACTATTATTTGAGTTATAAATATATTATAAATTGTTTACATATAATGTAAACAATTTTTTAAAAAAAAATTATAATATAAAAAATTAAAAAAAAATAGAATTTAGTGTTTCTCATACCAAAAACAATTTTTTTTTGGTAAGCTGAGGGGGAAAACCCACAGCACAAGATAAAATTACACAATAGAAATAGTCTGAGGTCTACAAACAGACGCTAAATCAGCGTTAAACAGGAACTCAATACCAGGGGAGGGGAATTGAACCTACACATGTCAGGACCATCAGAATTAACTATGTGATAGTTAGCCAACCAATCTGCAATATTATTGCCTTCTCTATACGTATGCCTAAAGTGAATTGTCCATTCCTTTGCAATCCATGCCTATATCCGAGAAATCAAATAACTCTCGCGGGTTGCATCACCAGAATTGGTGAGCAAAGTGATAGTAGATAACGAATCACTTTCTATAATTATTTTCCTCCAGCCAAATTCCCATGCTAATTCAAGACCCTTAAGAATACCCCAAAACTCAGCATTTAAAGCATTACAAACTCCAATTCTATAAGAAAAATCATTTAACCATTGACTAGAAGCTTTACAAAAAACTCTTCCACAAGCCGCCAAACTCGAGTTACCCTTTACAGCTCCGTCCGAGTTGAATTTCACCCAATCAGCTTCTGAAGGATTTCAACAGACCAGAATGCTAGACTTGGTGCGCATTAGATGACTCTTCCTAGCAAGATGGAAAACTTCTTGAAAATCATGAGCTTTAGATTCCACTGAGTATTTCTTATAACGATGCTGGAAGTTTGTTCCACCAAAAATCTTTTCATTCCTCCAAATCCAAGCCATCCAACAAGTAGTTGCAAATATGGTATGCCATGGAATGATACCATTAAACTTCTCAGAACTCAGCATATTACCAAAAACAATTTTATCTATTCTAAACTTTAAAATAACATTGTTTTGAGGTCTGAGGGAAAAAATGCAGGACATTTTAAAAAATTCAAGTTGCAAGAAAAACAAAATTTTCAAAATGCCATGTTTTTTTTTCTCCAAACCTTAAAGCGATATGATTTTGAATCGCGTGAGATAAATTTATCTACGAAAGAAGCACTTTTTCCAGAAGTATAAGTAAGATTGACTTATAAAATTATTTTGTTAAAGGTCCATGCAACAATTATAAATTTTTTTTTCATGTTCTCACAAAATTCGTTTATTATGTGAGAATAAATATAATAACATTTTCGTTATGAAATTATATATATAAAGTTAAAAAATATATCTACATTATATGTATAAGATTAATTACAATTAAATATGGACTAATTATTTTACTTGAAAAAAATTTAACCAAATAATTTCATGTACATAAAGAATTCAGATATTTTTGGTTATTAAAACTTAAGAGCCGGAAGATATTCTACTGTCAATATATAAATATATTCATCATAAATAAAAATTCTAAGAATATGTTTACTATACGTAACTTTATCTGAATTAAAAAAAAACATTTATATGATTGAAGAAAAACCCTAAACTAAGGATATGAAATAAGGGCAGGTTATATTTACAAACTTTTTTGTTTACAAATTACACTATATTCTCCCGGGAGAATATAAACTTTTACAAACTACACTATGTTCTCCCGGGAGAAGACAGTGTAAATTGTAAAAAAATTCAAAAAAATTTGTAAACGGATCATGTTCCTATTAAATATATATATATATATATAAAAGTAAAACATAATCAATGCAAGTAGCAAAAATAGGAACCAAACAGCGGGCCTAATTTGTTTGGCTTTATTGTGTTGAGATACTGAAAACTAAAAAAGCAAAATTCCTTCTTAAATACGGCAATTATTGAGACAAAAACTGTATAAAAACAAAGATGCCACGAAAACTCATCATAGAACTACGTCATGTTGGTACGAATGTGAGCCAAAATCATTTTGCTAATGATGTTCCCCGTGTAAGTAATTTCTGAGTGAAGATGAATGTTATAAGTGATGATTTCACTCTACCACATTTTGACTCTTAATAGAGGGTGCTATAAGTGATTTTGAAATTTTAACAAGACTTAAAAAATGTTGTGGGACCTCTTTTTTTCTAGTTGGAAATGAAATGTGCCCAAATTTATGAGGAGATTATATACGTAGAATATATTAACTGAACCGTATACTGGCACTGCTCCTGCTGTACCTTCTCGTTTTCTGATTTCTGAAATTATATCTCTTTATTTATTGTTGTTATCCTTTTGTACTTTAGTATCTTGTTTTCTAGCGGTTTGCATAGGTGTTGATTAATGGGGTAGGTCGAGGAGGCTCACATAAAAGGAAGCATCACTCAAACCACAAGAAGCTATATATCAATCATTTCCAATATAGTTCTGTTCTCTTTAATGGAGCCTAATGCAAGTAGCATGCATTCTCATTGCGTAGAAATGACCATGGAAATACACCAAGTTGTTCCACCACCCCACAAGAGCACCCTACAGAAACTCAAGGCCAGGCTCAAGGAAACTTTTTTCCCTGATGATCCTCTGCGCCAATTCAAGGGACAACCACTTCAGAGAAAAATATTCCTCGGAGCTCAATATGTGTTCCCTATTCTTCAATGGGGTCCTAATTACAGCTTCAAACTCTTTAAATCTGACCTTGTTTCTGGCCTCACTATTGCTAGCTTGGCCATCCCTCAGGTTTGTTTGTCATCAAGTTCTCTGCTTCTTAGTCATGAAAATTATTATTTATCTGAACTTGCTTCTTTTATTCAATTATGGACTTTGTTTTCATTCAGGGAATCAGTTATGCTAAGCTTGCAAATCTTCCTCCAATTGTGGGACTATGTGAGTGTATTGATTTCTCTCCTCAGCTTGTGCTATAATTCATGTTATATATATATTCTCATGAGTTGGTCTTGAATATTTCAGATTCTAGTTTTGTTCCCCCACTTGTTTATGCTATTCTTGGAAGCTCAAGGGACCTAGCAGTAGGACCTGTTTCCATTGCTTCTCTTGTGTTGGGATCCATGCTTAGACAGGAAGTGTCTCCCACGGCAGACCCAGTTCTGTTTCTTCAACTAGCGTTTACTTCAACATTCTTTGCTGGTCTCTTTCAAGCTTCTCTAGGAATCCTAAGGTAATATCCCTTTCATATTTATTTACATTTTTTTTTCCTATCTGAAAAAGTATAAGAATCATTCTAATATATAAGATAAGTTGTTAATGATTGCAGGCTAGGATTTATCATTGATTTTCTATCCAAGGCAATCCTTATTGGGTTCATGGCTGGAGCTGCTATAATTGTGTCTTTGCAACAGCTCAAGAGTCTCCTTGGAATCACACATTTCACTAAGCAGATGGGCCTGATTCCTGTTATGAGTTCAGTTTTTCACAATACACATGAGGTTACTCCTTAATTTTTGGCCCTTCCTGGCTCACACAGACACATGTGTGCACACACAAGATATAAACATAATTCTAATTGCAACCCCAATTCTTCTCTTTAGGCTAAAATGGAGTTTATCTCTATATTCTCTCTTATAAAGTAGTTATTTCTGGTTTTTATGCAGTGGTCATGGCAAACGATATTGATGGGAATTTGCTTCTTGGTGCTTCTACTACTAGCAAGACACCTTGTACGTTATTTTAGTCCTTACTAAATTTCTTTTACCAGCTGCTAACCATTTTAAGTCACCCTTATGCAATTTTCTGTGTGCAAGCATACCCTTGTTCCTTTTTGAAAAGGCCACTTAACCTCTGAGAAATAGGACAAGGTCATTAAGATTTAAGACAGTATTTCATTATGGTATAGTTTCACGGGCTCCAATTATCAAACACCTGGATGCCCCTTAGCCCCAGTGTTACACAACATGCCACAATCTGACACATTTGGTTCACAATCATGGTCTGGTTAGCTTCAAGTTCATTCCAGTATAGCTTGAACCCCGTACGGCTTTTCTTTTATGGTGCATGGAAACTATAACCAGTGGTCCCATCTACTATGACTTTACCATAATTTTTATTTTTATTTTTATTTTTTATAAAGTGCTAATTATACAGAACCAATTTATATATAAGAATCACAATATATATATATATATATATATATATATATATTTGTTATCGGAAATGAGAATGTAATTGACGCATATTGATTTTGGCTAAAAAAAGTAAAAAATATGTATAATAATTTTTTTTTTTTTTGGTAAACATAATAATAATTTTTATTATATATAGGGAACATGTTAAATAAGTGAGAACCAAAAGAATACATCTTAAGTTGTATGATCAAGTTTATGTGACAATTTTAAGTGATCATGCAACTTTTGAATAACTTCTAATTACCACCACTCACATAAAATTAAATAGTTATCATTAATTATTCTCCCTTTCCTGAGTAAAATATTGTTCTTACTTCTTACTTATATTATACCTCGTGTTGGTTTTACTAAATCATCTTAGCCCACTTTTTTTTTTTTTGGTAGACATCTTAGCCCACTTTTTAATAGTAGAATTAGCGTGAAATTTCACCTAAAAAACTTTAAAATGTAAATGTAATATTTTGTTAATGTTTGTAAATATGATTGATATAAACTTTTAATTTAATGGCTCATGCATGGGAGTGCGTGCATGTATCTGTGTATTTGGATACTCTCTTTTTAATATATATTTTTTTCAATTTAGGGTGAAATCGTATATGGTCTCTAATAAATAGAGAGATTATTTAGTAAAACCAATATGAAATTTTATATCTTAACAAAGAAAGTATTAAAAAGAGTGCTAAAATTTATTACCAAAAAAAAAAAGTCCTAAAAATGTGTCACTATAGCATTTTTTGAAGATAAAATCATGTGTGTCACACAGGAATATATCACTCAGAACAAACTTGGCTTAATAAAAAAAATTTAGATGGGCTGTGAAAAACAATCTCCTTTCTTAAAAAATGATGACTAAAGTATTAAAATGGATTTTTTAATCCCAAAATAAATCTAATAATAGATAAGTATGTAATATGTAAGTGATTACATGGTCACATATTCAAATTCTAATTATGCCAAGCATGTTTTGATTGCGTGGAAGTTAAATTAGTAGATGTGTGTGCATGGCTGGAAGCTGAACTATTGCCAAATAAAAAATAAAAACAATTTTTCTAACAAGGCAATGCATTTGATCTAAAATCCCACTTAAAGTAGTCCTTGTTTTATATAAACTTTACAAAACTAGTCCCAAAAAAATTGTTAGCCTAATATATTTCTGAACATAGACTTTAACCACTGAGGGATTTAATTCTGTCCTCCCATCCTTATTATTTCTAATTAAATAATCTCTTTTAATTAGTAATATCTTTTAATTGTCAATTTTTTTTAATTAAATTTTTAATATTCAATTCTTAGAAGATCGGATAAAGAGATAAGAAATAGTGGGTTCACTACAGATATGCACGAACCACTCTATTGACCAAAGATTTAGTCACGCAATGCATCTTAGAATCTATTGTATGTGATATACATTTTAATCATAATATTTTATTACTAACATTATTATTATTATTTTTAATTAAAAGCAAACTGCAGCCTTTTTTTTAATGTTCATGTAAAGGTTTGTTGCATTAATAACAATTACCTGCTACATTTCAGAAAGTACCCATTAACGACTTTGTAATTAAAAATGGGATATATAAAATTCAAGATTTTTCCATGTTCAAATTGTTTAAAATGTTAGACTAATTGGAAGATCTTTTCATTGCCACTGAGTGTTTAAAAAGACAAACCATGTTTCTGTGATGCATTTCAGAGAACAACCTTACTTTCTTGCATACAGACAGACATATATATATATAAATAAGGGAATCATCCGTTTACAAAAGTTTGTAAATATAAATCTCCCCATATATATATATACATATATATATATATATATATATATATATATATATATATGTATATATATATATGGGGAGAGTTATATTTACAAACTTTTGTATACGTATAGGGGGAGAGTTATATTTATAAACTTTTGTATATGTATATGGGGAGGGTTACATTTACAAACTTTTGTAAACAGATCATTCTCATATATATAAATATATAGAAAAAATGTTTATCCTTTTAAATAACACAACTTATATCTTTTCACTCTCACAAAGAGGTGGGGCTCACACTTTTATTTTTTTTTGTCAACTCTCTGTCCTCCTTTATCTATCTCTTTCTCTCTCTCTCTTAAAATGACACAACTTTACATCCTTTAAAATGACACATATTTTCCTCATATATATATATAAGGGAAGGATCCGTTTACAAACTTTTTTAAATTTTTTTTCAAATTACACTATGTTCTCCCGAGAGAACATAGTGTAGTTTGCAAAAGTTTGTATTCTCCTAGAAGAATATAGTATAATTTGTAAGAGTTTGTAAATATAACCTCAACCATATATATATATATATATATATATATATATATATATATATGCAACTTCTCTCACAATGAGTGCAGGGTAATATTGACTAACTCAAATTGAAATAAATGCATGCAGAGCATGAGGAAACCAAAGCTATTCTGGGTCTCAGCTGGAGCTCCTCTCATGTCTGTCATCATCTCTACTCTTTTGGTTTTTGCAATTAAGGCTCAAAATCATGGCATCAGTGTAGTAAGTCACTGCTTCCACCCCAAAATCATCATCAGTCTAGCAGCTTTTGAAAAATGGAATATGTTACTATCACCTTCAGCTTATAAATACTAAACAAATTAACTGCTGCCTGCTTATGTTGTTGTTAGATTGGAAAATTGCAAGAAGGAATAAATCCTCCTTCATGGGATATGTTGCGCTTTCATGGAAGTCACCTAGGTCTAGTCATGAAAACTGGGCTTATCACTGGCATTTTATCCCTCACTGTAAGTTTAACATTTTTCTTTTATCTTTTTCCAACTTCCTCTGTAACAAATATATAGAAGAAGCAAACTCTTGAGAAGCCTCGGCCCCTTACTCTTGAGAAGAAGCAAACTCTCGCTCCTTTGTACCAAGCTCCTTTGGTACATGTGGTAAGGAGCCTAGGCCCCTTAATCAGAGGTCTTGAATTCAAGTATGGGGAATGAAAAAAAATAAAATTGGGAGAGTCGTCCCTGAAAGGGTCTAACAATATTCGATGGGAATTAGTCTTTTGTTTCGGCTGGAGGATACCCTTGAGATTACTCAAAAAAAATATACATAGAAGAAGCAGCAGCATATTGTTTATTCAATAATAATTTGTTTTATTGGTGGCATTAATAAATAAGTGAAATTTTTTAATACAGGAAGGTATTGCAGTAGGAAGGACATTTGCAGCTCTCAGAAACTACAAAGTGGATGGAAATAAAGAAATGATGGCAATTGGGTTTATGAATGTGGTTGGCTCCTTCACTTCCTGCTATGTTACAACAGGTTCTCATTTGTGACCTAAAAACCTTTCCAAAGGCTTTCCTGAAGGATAATGAAGCATAAGATTGACTGCTGATGTCAGAAGCACATATTTATACCTTTAAACTATGAATTTCAGGTGCTTTCTCTCGATCTGCTGTTAATAATAACGCAGGTGCAAAGACAGCAGCTTCAAATGTAGTGATGTCTGTGACAGTCTTGGTGACACTCCTTTTTCTTATGCCATTGTTCCAATACACGCCTAATGTTGTGTTGGGTGCAATCATAGTCACAGCAGTAATTGGCCTCATTGATATCCCTGCTGCTTGTCACATTTGGAGCATAGACAAATTCGATTTCATTGTGATGTTGACTGCTTTCTTGGGTGTTACTTTTATCTCTGTCCAGCAAGGCCTTGCTTTTGCAGTAAGTTCCTGGATTTCTTCAGTTTTTGCTCACAATGCTCACCTAGTGAACATTATTATGGATATGCTTTTATGTATGATACCTACAATAATATTTTAAATTTTCTAGATAAAGGTCTTAATTCCCTTGATACTCATAATTTGACATAAGCTTTGTAGTCCTTGGCCAACAAGACCAAGTTCTTTTGCATAAATCATATCTCTGCATTTTAAAAGGGAGTGACTAGAATCCAGAGAAATTTTAAGTATGGAAGCTTATAGGACCTTTCTTTGCAAGTAGAACAAAATATAAAAGCTCTCTTTGATTTTGACAAGGGATGACAATGCTATTAATCAGGTTGGGTTATCAACTTTAAGGATACTCCTGCAAATTACTAGGCCTAAAACAGTAATGTTGGGGAATATACCAGGGACGGACATATATAGAGATCTTCACCAATATAAGGAAGCTGTAAGAATACCTGGTTTTCTTATATTAAGCATTGAAGCTCCCATCAACTTTGCTAACATCACATATCTCAACGAGAGGTTAGTTTCAGCTTAGAAAATTTTATAATGTAAATTTTATTTTGGTACATTGATATTGTTTCCTCAGTTACTCAACCATTGGCATGTCATATTAGGACATTACGATGGATTGAAGACGAAGAAGATAACATAAAGGAAAACTCAAGCCTTCGATTTTTAATCCTGGAAATGTCAGGTAACTTCATGAGTTTTTAATTCAGCAAAGGTGGAATCTCTCATATAAGCTCTGTTACTCTCTGTCACTTGATTCATAATTGCTGGGGATCATTTTTCTAATGATAAAACTTTTCTGTTTATGTTCTTTATAACTTATTATTGTATTGTTGTCCTGGACAAGAAAAGGGCTAATAATACACCTAAAATAATCAAATTCCTGCTGTAATCTATGGGAGTTCTCACCTTCATTTTCAACATACATGTCCATCTAAGTTCCATGCGTGCACCTATCTCACTTAATTAGCAAGTCGAGGAGTACATAAATCACTTGTAAGACTGAATATTTTCATACAACAATGAAGTAGGTTTGAGTTGTTTGCCCAGCATTATTTTGACAATCTATGTTCTAGCATATTACTCAACATACATTTCATCTACCTTCATACCATGCAAACTAATCATCCAATCAGAAAAGTAATACGCATCAAATCTCTTTGAAATTGTCAGCTGTGAGCGCCATTGACACAAGTGGAATCTCACTTTTCAAGGAGTTGAAAGCAACACTGGAAAATAAGGACGTTGAGGCAAGGATGCTAAACTCTCACATATACATAATACTCTATTTGTTTACACGCCTTGATAGATATGTCTTAAATCTAAACCGTGACTAATTCATGTAACAGCTTGTCTTGGTGAATCCTCTGGCTGAGGTCATAGAAAAGCTGAAAAAAGCAGATGTAGCTAATGATTTCATACAAGCAGATAACCTTTTCTTGACGGTTGGAGAGGCAGTAGCTTCACTTTCATCATGAATGAAGGGCCAATCATCAACCATGATAGAAGGGGCACATACAATTATACCACATTACTGATCAATTAATTAAGATTGCAGAAAAAAATAAGCAAAAGCAAAAAAGTAGAAACAGCAGAAGCAGCAATGCTAGCATAGCATTCCTACAAAATCAATCATTGTACCTGCAGTATAAACGATTGAAGTGAAATGTAACTTCGTCATTTGTGCTTCTGCTTACTAGATTTGCCTCACAAGCATTTTTATTATGACTTAAAAGGGTACAACTTGTTGCTTGTTAATTCAAGCATTCATGTTGATTCCCATGCACTCTTCAGCACATCTGATTCAACAATGCTACTTGCAAAGATCATAAGTTTGTATTCTTAAAACATTTCTTATTACTGCAGCAAGCATCTTATCCCACAGCAGCGATTGAAATTTTGACTTCTATTGCCAATGGTTGTACCATATTAAACTAAAGTTATTTAAAGAGAATCACGAAGATTGACAAAATGTCAAAGCAATGCTTTCTGCTAACATCAGCAACGTTGAAAACCTTAACTGCAACATGATGATAAAAGGAACAAAAAGGATATCCACACAAGTGCTAGGTGCACACTCCCTTCTGAAAAGTAAAATCTCACAGATACTTCACAATTTCCTAGATGTTGAAGGGAAAAGACATTGACTGAATGGATAAAAATTCATCACATTATGCTTAGATGCAAACGCCTTCTAGCTAAACCCTCTATGATCCTACTCAACATTGCACGTTTCAATTTCCAATCATGCAGAAAAAGCAGTTAAGCTCTATGACTTATGGTTCTAGGATGAAAATTTGCATGTACACTACATATCTACTCATGAATTTATCTGCAAACAATTATCTATTATCTGCAAAAAATTTGCACCAGAACCAAATGATGACAGAGGAACCCTCATTACCATACTGCAATCAGATCCAAAGGATAACCTATCATCTTGGTTACAACTGATCACAAAATTAAGAAATTGAACAACCGATCAGACATAAATGGAATCACAAAAACTTTGAAAGTTAAGAGACCACACATCAGAGGAAAGAAATACGAAAACTATTCAACTAACTACAAAAATCATTTAACAAATTAAACTAGGGATGAGACCTAGTTACTCAAGGCACATCCTTCTAACAAGCCAAACTTCATGAGGAACTTCTTCTCATTACAGTCCAGCATTTCACTCAAGCTACAATTCAAATTCCTCTGCTTTAAAATTTTGTACCGCAACTCTAATCTTTTCTTCAGGCCGTGACGAAAGAAGCAAGGATAATCAATGACTTCATCAACTTGTCTCCCCATTACATCTACTAAAAACTTGATCCTTGGTTCTAAAGAATTCTGGATGCTCTTGATCAGGATAGGAGGAAAACCAACCACCAAAGCAACTAGCTGTCCGTCTTGAAATCCACATTTCTTCAAATAAGCATAATTGGGTGCCAAAACCTTGTTCACATCTCTACTCAAGATTGCTGGGAAGTTCAAAGCCACTGCTTGAAGATCCGACTCGGTCAGACCTATTGACTTCAGAAACCGCGAAGTAGGGCGGAGCCTTTTATCAACACTATAACCCATAATAAAGGGGTCCCTGACTATAACTTTTCCAATCAATCCATCTTTACTGAGACCAAGGCTAGCAAAGAAGTCCACAATTTCTGCAAGCTTTGTTTCAATACTGTAGCTGATAAGCCTAGGGTTAAGCAGTATGGTTTTCCCAATTTGCTTTTCAGGGATGCCCAATGCCTGAAAGAAGGCCAAAAGGGGACAAAGCTTCTCTTCCACACTATGTGAGAGTATGTGAGGGAACTTGGTTATGGCAGAAGTAACTTCATGGGGTTTTGTTTCTAGTGTCTTGAGACACTCAACCATGGGCACAATCTTCTCATTAAGACCCAATGCAAGAATCTTGGGACATTTTGAAACAATTGAGGGAAGTTTCCTTTCTTGAATTCCAATGCTTCTCAGGTACTCCCAATTCTCATTTGCTTTTTCCTGATGTAAAACCTCAAGGCGTTTGCACTTTCTGAACATTCCTTGTATGTTGTTATCATCAAATCCTCTATCCTTAAAAAACCACATCATGCTACTACTGTGGTTGCTAGTGATTTCCATATTTCTCTAAAAAAAATTCCAGAAAATAAAAAACATTTAGCTTACATATGCAAATACCATTAACAGAACAGGATGAACTATAGTAGAGTAACATGAGACTCATCACCTTAAATAACACATTAACACTCACAATTTTGTAAGGAACTCAAATAAAATAATAAATAAACAGTTTTTTAAAACATATTGGGCTTTTGTTTTGTATTGGAATTTTGCATTCACAGATTCTATCAGAGCCCCCACATGATAAGATAATGCAAAATTTGATTCCAACCATGCAGAAGAAGAGAAATGGGTAAATGAAAAAAATGGGTTTTAGCAGAGTTACCAGAAGAGGAGCAGACCAGGGTTTGGGCTCTGAGACTGTTGAACACCTGAGAGTGAGGATGAGAAGACAACGTGGATGGAGGAGAGGTTGATGCAGAGCTCTTGGTCTACCGCTTGAAACGACGTCGTTTCCATCAAAAGTTTAGTGTTTAATGTTTTAAATTTACCACTTTGCATTATCTTATTATGTTTGATGTATAATGTTATGCGTTTTAAATTTTTAATCATCTATAATGTTTAATGTTTATTATTAATTTATGACATAAAAATTCTTCCATTCTTTTTTCTGATTCAAGGGGGAATGGAAAAGAAAGTTTAATACAATCTACTCAAATCCCTCAATCAATCCCAGTAGTTTAATATTCTTCCATTACTCTAGTTCTCATTTGTCATGTCTTAATTAAAAGTAAGTTTTAATGTTTGTACAGATAAGTTTTCTATATTTACTGTCAAAACGACATCGCTTTGATTTTAAAGATTAAAAAATTATAATAAGAGACTATTATAACCCTGAGATAAATTATAATTATAAAAATACTTTAATTTTCGTCCCAAAACGATGTAGTTTTGGGCTACATTGACGGTAGAAAAAATGAACTATTAAAATTACTTATGTTTTTCTTTAATTTTAAATATATTTTTTCAAAAAATAAAAAAAATAATTTTATTTTTTCTATTTATGATTAATTTAAGTAAAACATTCTATGGTATTAAATTGTTGAAAATTAATAAATCTCAAGTTACCATTTTAGAAAAAAGATATAAAAAGTTATTGTTTATTTAGCTATTTTTAAATATTTGTTTTAGAATGTCTTAGTCTATTTTGCTTTAAAATAACATGTGTTATTTTATTTTATTTTCTTAAAATTTTGAATTTAAATTGTTTTACATTAATTATTAGTAATTTTTATAATTTAAATATATTTTCTCTTTTATTTTTTTATTCTAATTGAATTCGTTTATCTCTCTTATAATTTTAAATATTTTTTCAAATATTTGAGTTTGATATAGAAATATTATATATACACACACATATATATAGGAAAAAGTATTTGTAATTTTAAATGACATAAAGTTGTGTCATTTTTAATGAAATTATGTCATTTTGATGTATTTTTACATTATTTTTTCTCCATTTTCTTTTTCTTCCTAATTTATAGAAAAGAGAAAATGAAAAACTCATCAAACCGATATAGTTTCATTAAAAATGACACAAAGTTGTGTCATTTAAAATGATAAATATTTTTCCCAAAAATAGGAAAAAGTGTGTCATTTAAAATGACACACATTGTGTCCTTTCACTCTCACAAAGAGGTGAGATCTACACTTTTAAAACTTTTTCCCTTCACTCTCTCCCTCCTATGATTTATCTCTTTCTCTCATTAAAATGACACAACTTTATGTCCTTTACAATAATACACACTTTTCTTATAAAAATATTGTTTTTATTCGATAACATTCATTATTTATTTGGTTGAATCAAGTCCCTCTGTAATTATTCACTCTAACTCCAAAGATCTCTCCAACATTCAAACTTGTCACTTAAATCAACCCTCAAATTATATAGAAATATGTTTTCTCCTAGAGAACCGAGGATTTATACGATGTTCGGTTTTAGAGAATCGAGGATTTATACCGTATGGTATGAGCTTAGAGATATCTTAGAGATAGATATCATGATTGGCTTATAGCCAATACTCCAATCACTGCGCACTATCAATGGGTGTGTAGCTAAGACGTGAGTATGTGCACAATGTTGGCAGTAATAGTAAATAGGTCAAAAATGTGTACCTGGGGTCTTTAGCCTCTTATTTATAAGGATTACCTTCATAGACTTGGGCCTTTGAGATCTCCCAGTTGATAAGAAATCTTCCTTGATTGATGGGGATAGGGATCTTATCCCTTGACCCTATCTAGATTATATGGTTGTGATATCCCTATTCAATTTTGCTAGTAATAAGGTTGTTAGGATATGGATCCAGTCCATAACAGTTGCCCCCCAGCCTGGCAGTTCGGAAGCTCGGACTGTTGGGGTGCCTAAGTCTGATTGATAGGTCGACCCTATCGAGGTGCTATGATCCTGCCTTGGGTTTGGTGCGGCTACCTTTTCTTGGTTTAGCTTTTTACTTAACCGAGGTAATTATTTGTAGCTGTTTTCATCTTATCCGGGTTATAACCGTGCTCCTAACCTTATGGGGTTTAAGCTCGCTCAGGATAAAGGTTCTGAAGCATATGTTAAGGTTTATTGTTGCGCTCTACTGTTGATCATATGAGTTTGACATTTGGCCATGGCCGACCTTTTTCATGATGTCGTTGTTTACTGTTAAGTCGTCTTTATCTCCAACCTCGGTTTTGACTCGTGGTGTCGTTGTCGTGGATGTTCTTTACTTGGACATCCTCGCAAGGGTTCCGAGGTCGAACCAATGCCTGAGCTTGGCATATGTCACGTCAACAGGACCCTCTGCCTTTGCCCGTTTCTTGACGATTATACTTTTCCACGTGTCATTGACTGATTGGCGGTTCGTGCATTGTGCAGCGTTAGTCGTCTTGGCGTTTCACAGGCCATGATGAGATGCAGTAATTCTTTCCCTGTGTAATGACTTTTTCATTAGCCTTTGACTATTAATGCTGCTATCTTGGCACTTCATCATTTCATGCTCATAGCAGAGCTTTGAATTATATTGCATGGGGTCAAAACTCGGCCAGGTTCTTGGTTTGAGCTTTGTTAATCTTTAATCTATGGCGTATGATTTCAGCCATCTAGTTGAATAATGATGTCGGACTTAACGAGTCGGGTATTGAGTATGTTTTTCTAGCTTTCGTCCCTGAACCTTTTCGATCGAGGTCCAGTTTGGAATCAACTGATCTTTCTCTAGATCGCCTTGCCTAGGATCTAATCCTTGCCTTTTTGGGTCCTGTTGCTTTTGTATTTGTCCTTTGTATTTTCTTGCATTTATAACTTGACCGGCTTCCCCGAATTAGGTTGTCCGGTTCTATTTTGACGTCCCTTCTCTCATCCTTTTGGCCGAAGTACAAGCTCGAACTAGCTAATCTTGCTTTTTGACCGCGTTGCCGAGATCTGTACTTATGATGGTTGTTGCTTTTTCTCGTTCTAGAATTAGCCTGAATTCTTTTGTCGTGACTTCGACTTTAAGCTAGGTTCCTTCGCCTAAAGTTTTGAGGTTGTTTGCTTCTTTAATTTCGAGTCCGACTTTTCTTGTTGTGGCATTTTATATGGTTTCTTTTCTCTTGAAGTCTCTAAGTAGTGAGGCGGTGTTTGCCTCTTTTTGACTTTGAGCTCGGCTTATCTTGTCGAGACTCTTTAGTTTTGACTAAGCTTATTGTTAGTCTTTTATATATATAGGCATTCGCCTAAGTTTTAGGACGGCATTTCGTACCTCTTTAATAATTAACTCGACTTTGCACTCCCTAGATTTAAGTGTCGTGGTTTCAAATTTGGCTCGGTTTCGCACACTGAGATCTTTATTAGCATGGATTTGACCTTTTGCAAAGGTGTGTTGTACTTTAGGGAGCACGACTTCTCTTAATCCGACTTTCCCCTTTTGAATTTGGCTTGTTGCCTATGTCTTAATTTTGGGAAAGTCTTTCGTGCCTTCTTCAATGATTAGTCCAGCTTTGTGTACCATGACTTTTCTTGTTTTTGATGGACTTGGCTTCTTTTGCCATAGTCTTCAAGTCTACTGGAAAGGATTATACATCTTATAAATTCATATCGTCCTTTCAAATCTTATAAATTCTATTAAAATTATTTAAAATCTAATCTTATGAAATTTTGATTGTAAAAAAATTCTTTTAAAAAAGTCTTTAAAATCTCTCCAATTCTAAAATATCTTTTAAAATTTGCAAGATTTTTTATTTCAATTTTTTTTTTTAAAAATTCTAATCCAATATAGCCCTTAATTCTGAACATTGATTCCTTTATGACTTATGATTGGCAAACTTGCTTTGAGCCAAAACTCAAAAGGTAACACAACTTATGCAGCTAATTTTACACTACATTATAATTAAGGGATAAAATATTCTGACAACCAAATAATGTTACTACTAATATTACTACCACATCTTAACCGTTGATTTCTGGCAATCAACGGTTATCATTTATTGCGAATTAATTATTAATTAATGAGTTTGATTTGAAAAATAATAACCGTTGATTGGCGGAAATCAACGGTTAAGATGTGGTAGTCATATTATTTAATTGTCAGAATATCCTATCCCTATAATTAAATGCATGATCCCCGTTCTCACGTTCTTTTATTTTTGTTGTTGCTGTGTACCGGTCCAGCTCACACACGGAAATTATGTTCATCATTTTTTCGCTTTGAATCCTCAATTTGTTTTTCTATTTAGCATAATTATTTGTTTTAATATATAATTTGTGTTGATGCATTGTACACTAAAATATTTTCATTTAACATATGATTTGTTTTTGTTGTATCCGTGTCTAGTAGAAGACTAAAATATTGATCTTGGATCTCTGTTTATATATAGGAAGGAGATACCATTGAGGTGATAAATTATGTTCAGAATAATAATATAATCAAAAAAGTGACGTGTGTACAGTCATAACATATATGAAAGAGTAAATATCATAATTATAAATTTTATCTCTCATTTATAAAATTTACCAACTCACGGTGAAATTCTGGACTTTAATGGTTTTTCTATGGGACAATGCTAGGTCCGGTGTTGCTGTGTATTATGGGTGTTCATCAACCGATCCAAACCGATTCAAACAGCGAAAACCGAATCGAAAAATCGATAACCGAATAAACTGAAAATCGAAAAATCGGAAACCGAAAGAAAACCGCAAATTTTAATTGGATTGGATCGGTTTTCGGATGGGTTGATGAAAACCGATCCAATCCAAACCGATCCAATATATTAATTATCCTCTACCTATTTGTCTTTTCTCCGATCATAGCCCAAAAATTTCTAAACTCAAGACCCATTAACTCATTAACTAAACACAAAAAAAAACTTAGTCACCTCTCATCAACTATAGTATTGTTTACTGATATTTTTGTATTTCATTTTTGTTTTTACAAAGTCAATATATACAAAAGATGTTATTTGCACAATAATCACGAAACTAATTTTAGGATATTCAAAAAACCGAAAATCGATCCAATCCAAACCGAAAAAAATTAGATTGGATCGGATTTGAAAAAAAATTTAAACCGAATGGATAATTACATGATCAAACCAAAGAAATTAATTTTACTTCCAAAACCGATCCAATCCAAAGTGGGAACACGTTACTGACTGTTAGGATTAGGATTACTGCTAATCAATGCTAGTTTCCTTTTCCTGCACCCTCTAAAATATGGTATGTGCATCTCGTATAACCCATAACAGTTTTAATATATTATTCATACAAAACAGTAGAAGTTAGCATACAGAGTACGCCGCTGAATCACGTTCATTCTAAAATCAAGACGCTGAGAGAGAGAGAGAGAGAATGGGGGAATCACGTTCATACGGTGTTCCTTTGTACTCCCTTTCTTGGGTTCCCAAACACGTCATTGAATCTCGACAAATTGAAACCGCCGGTGAATCCTCCAAAGCCGATCAGAGCTCTCCGCCGTTGACAGAGGGACTGGCCGACGGGAGCTACCTGGTCGTCGCGGGCGGTGGTGGAGAAGGCCACAGCGGTATCCCCAATTCTGTGTTGCTTGCGCACTTCGATGTTGCGTCCAATTCGCTTTCTGACCAACCGGTATATGATATATCGCTTATACATCTTGCTAGATTCCGAATTCTTGTTGATTTGATTTAGTGGCAAAAATTTCGTACTTCTAAACTAGATGAATCGGGTGTGGTTTTGATTAGGATTTTTGTTGTGTGATGCAGTGCAGACTAATGCTTGTTTGTGATACTTCGTTGCTTGATTTAGCTGCATGATTTATTTTCTGTCTTGTTTTGTAGGAGTAGATTTATTTGAATTGCATAAACTCTAAGATGTTACTGGATTTTTTGGACTTGTACCAATTGATTTAGTAATTTTTTGTTGTTAATCTAAGTTTGCAATGCAGAAAGATGCGGTACTTGTGTTTCTGATACTCTACTCTCTTGTTTGAGTAACATTATCTATATTACAGGTGAGTCGGCTAGGAACTGGTTCTGAGTTGCCATATAGAATGGCAGTTCACCCCAATGGAGATGGCCTTATTTGTGCAATGCCAAAGAGTTGCAGGTCTGTTGCTTCTCATCTCTTCTTTGCTTCATAGAACTTGGTTCTCTTCATTAAAGAGAAATGCATATAGAATTCATTTCTCCATTGAAATCTTTATGTCGAATATTTTGGCTGAGTGAACCCGAACTAGTCTGAGCATACATGCCGGCTATGCGTGGTTGAGTAGGTGGGAAATGAAAGCATCTTTCATCTAGACTTTATTATGTACAAATATATTTCTATTTTCCACCTACTCAACGGAGTGGTTTGAAATGTAGTAAAGGTAGAAAAGGAAGATCATGATTTCAAAGCTGTCAGCTTTGTATGCTGTATGATCCATCATAGAGAAAGAAAATTTGTCTAGAATGTTGAGGAACTGCGTGAACTCTATATATTTTAATTATATATTCTAAATTATAGCTTTTTTTATGTTGACCCACCCGGCAGGGACACACTTGAGTTAAGAGATATATTTCAGTAGTTATTTTAGCTGCATATGGATTGAAGTAATTCAATCACTTAGTTCTTTAACTCTATCTCTAGAAATTTTTACTCACAAACATTATCTTTGATCCTAAATTTTAGGATAAAAGATTGAATTGTGAAATGAGAAACCGGATAGACTGTATGGTATTTCAGAAAGTCTAACCATAGCATGTGATATAAGACAATCCTTAATAACTAGATTTTGTTATCGATAGCATCAGTATGAAGTTGAATGGGTAAAATCAGCTTATGGATATACCATATTTTCTGGATGGCAGTTATCTGGGAACCAATCTAATTAATAGAAAGAACTCCTAACTATGAATTTTTTAAGACTTTCTAATATTTCCCTATAAAAGGTTGTTTCATTTTGTAGAATTTTATTTAATGTAGAGCAAAATATAGGCAAACAATATAAGCACATTGTTTCATCAATGTGCAAAAATATCTGGAAAAGCAGCTGTTTTCTTTTCCTTTTTGTCAGTTTGTTTTTAGAGGATTAGCAGCTGGAGGACTGGTTTATGCCGCTGTTAATTCCCAGAATATGTCCCTAGTGCTGCCACAAACAAAATGAAAGTGTGGATTTACTGTAGTGCAGGAGGGAATACAATGAGAAAGAGGGAAGTTAATGTTATTGTGTCAGTCTATAATCTACATGCTGTATTGATATTTTAGGCCTAAAACAAACTTTGATTTTATTTTGCTCTATTACATGTACCTATAGAACATCATGATCAATATTATGCCTTGTTCATGCAGATGGTTTGAATGGGATTCTGAAATTCACCAGCTGGGTCTGAAGTTGTCAGATAGAGTGCTCACCCAGTTGGAGGATGTTGGACAGCAATTAGCATTGGCATTCAACAATGATGGTACTGCACTAGCTGCTGGTGGGGAGGTATAGGCTTCCTTTACATTTACACAAATGAAAGGAAACTGGTTTATATCACTGCTGATAATTTTTAGTAAAAAGAAAGAAAAATGATGATTTATGGAAAATATCTCCACTCATTAATTGTTACTGCACTTTATGTTCAACTAAGGTATGTTTCTGAAGAGATTAAGATCCAAGCTCTTGTTTTACTGTCCTTCGTAGTTCATACAAACCAATGCCTATGTAGAATCCTCATTAAGAAGAATTGGTGTCAGTAGATGGTATCACGAGGTCAATTGAACACATGCGTGTAATAGAAGGAGAGTTATTTGAATATTACCGTAGTATATGAAAAGTTAATCCATGTTGTGTATAAAAGGATGATAATAGATTATAATGGTAAACATAATAGAATGAGTTCTTTTGTTGTAGATGTAACCATTTGTTTGGCCATAATACAAATATTTTGATATGAACCTTGGGAGAATCGCACCCCAAAAGCTAGCTTGTAAAGTAAGAGAGCCCAAAGTCCATATAAACCCCACACCAGAACCTTATGTTTCCGATGTGGGACTCCAAGACCCATACCTTGCAATTGGATCATAACATATTATTTCCTTGTATCTGTTAACATAAACCTGAAAAATTTGTTATTAAAAGATTTGTGTTTTCTGAAGGCAACGTAAATGGATGACAAACATCAAATTAAACTGTCACCTGTAGCTTCAAAAGCTGTCAAAAACTCAAAATGCTGCTATGGCCTGCTCCATTTTGCTTCAACTTAAATTGTGTGATATGATATATGGTCGTGATTTATTTTATTTTTTGAATTTTGCCAATGTGATATTAAATGGTGAGGAATTTTTTTTTTATGGGACAGTAGTTGCACTCTGTATAATGCTTCAAATTTACTTCACTGCTGGATTGAAATGTTCTCATTCATTTGACAAATGAGCATTAAAATGTAGAAAATTTCTGTTTTTGATGAAGGAGTGGCACGCCACATGATATTGTAATTTTGGTGCGGTACAGGATGGCTATCTAAGGGTTTTCAAGTGGCCTAGCATGGAAATTATTCTTGACGAATCTAATGCTCATTCTACTGTGAAGGACTTACATTTTAGGTTTGTTGTGCATAGCAGCATCAGCATTTCACAGAGATGTTACACTTTGACTTTATAATTCACAAGGAAAAGAAGAAAAAGTTGAGAAAGGATAGAAAGATAGAACAGCTCTATAAACCCTGTTATTTCTCTTGGATTGTGCCTTATAGTTTGGTTTTGTTTGTCTTGCAGCTCTGATGGTAAATTGCTTGCCTCTTTGGGAAGTAGTGGCCCCTGCAGGGTTTGGGATGTTTCTTCATCAACAGTCTTAGCTACACTATCAAATGAAAATGTGAGCAATTAATTAAAATCTTACCAGTTGACAAAGTTTATTTGGCTTTAAATTTTGAACTGGCTTGATGGCTTTGTAAGCATTGTTTGAAAACTTCTCTTCCTTCAAGGTGAATGGGTTGAAATTTGGTTGTGCCATAATCATACTTAACATTGACTTACAATAAATGAAAAAATGTATTAAATTAAATAATAGTGCAGTTTATGTATAGTTTTATTTAGTCTGGACTCTACATGAGTTGTATTTTGAATACATTCGTTTTAAAACCTTTTATTTATTATTTATTGTATAATGTTCATTTGCTTACTGTTTGTATAAATTGTTTTCTAGTACCTACACATTTAGTCATAATGACTCAGAACAACACTGGCAATAAACATGTTTTCACTGAAGTTGATCTGTTCTGTGTGATTTCCTGTAAAGCTGATTGTTACTTAGTGGTCAGATCAGTATATATGGGCAGGTTCCCAGTTCAACTGGTTAAATTAGCTGGTCTACTCTGTTTCTCAAAATTTGCTAATTTTGTGATAATAGACTAAGTGGATCCTAAAGCAAGTTTAAAAGGAAGAAGATGGATTGGATTTATTGGTGTGGAGAAGCTACCGGATGGGACAAATAAAGGGGAGAAACAATCGGGGACTAGGATAAAATATTTTAAAGCCAACAACATATATTATAATAGTAAGTATAAAATCCCAAATAATAACTATTCTTTGAAACTTTTTTCACCACCAAGTATCACAATTCTTGTTTTAGGATATTTATGATGGTGTTACTACATGTGTGAAGGTTTGTAATGAAACATCAAGTTATTTTTCAATCACAAGTTTACACCAAGGTTTTGCTTTGAGTCTTTTTTTTGCCCCAGTTATGGATGAGCTAACAAATCCTATGGATAAAATAAGAAATGAAGGTCTTCGATGAATGGTAAGAGTAATACCGGTGGAAGAAAAGATGAGAGATCATAAATTGAGATGGTTTGGGCATATTATACAAAGACCCCTATGTTCCTGTAAGAACAGAAATGTGTTACCAAGAGCATGATACAAAGAGAGGAAGAGGTCGGCCAAAACATAGTAGTAAAACAAGACTTAATGGAGTAAGAAATAAATTAGCGTACGGCGTGTTTAAGGACGGAGTGGAGGAAAACTATTAGTAGAGAAGAGGGATAGACCTGTTATGTCATATGTCCTATGTTTCAGACGAACCATTTTAATCATTTTTCTCTTTGTTTATTTATTTATCTTTTTCTCTTATTTATTTATTTTTTTCTCTCAATCTTTTCTTGTTTTTAATTTGAGTTCATCAACCGTCGACCCCCAACTAGTTTGGGATAGATTTGATTTTGAAGTAGCACATTTCTATATATTGTGATTACATTCCAATCATGTTGAAGTATTGGGAAATATCTTATATGTATCTGAAGTAGAAATCAATTCTAATTATGAAGACATGGCCAATAGGTATGATCATGTAAAATCTGACATTTAACATCTAGGGGGGAAAATTCTACACTGGATTGGCTGAACATGGGAATATATGGTGCCTCAATATTATTCACATGTTGTTTGACTTGGTGATTGCTTTGTCATTAATTATATATACTAATCATATTTTGTTCAATTTCATACAGCATGAAGTTTTTAGGTATTGCCGATTTTCTCAAATAAATGATGGGACTCAGGTCCTATATATTTTTGTCATGGCAGGTAAATAATTTGCAGAAATAAATTATCTTCTCCTTGTTGTATATATAAAAAAGAAATGTTCTTTTCCCCTTTATCTCCCTTTCTTTCTTTCTTTTTCTCGCTTTTTTTTTTGTCTTTTTTTTTTTTTTCACTTTTCTAATTCATTTTCTTCTTTTTTTTTTCTTTCAATCTTTCTTCTCTTATTTATTTATTTATATTTTTTCTTTTTTCTTTTCTTTTTTTATCTCTCTATTTCTTTATTTTTATGTTTTATTTTTACTTTCTTGTTCTTTTTTGTCCTCTTATATATCTTTATTTTCACTTTATTTTAATTTCTTTTTCCTTTTAATTATTTATTGCTATTTTTTTAATGGATAATGATATATGTGTGTGTATATATATATATATACATATATTTAAAAAAATTATTTTTATCCTTTTTTCTCTATTTTTTTCATATTTTTCATTTGATTCATCTGCCACCGTCCTGAACTAGTTTAGGATAAAAATATTGTTGATGTTGATGTTAATACAGATAAAGGTGGAAGGATCCTGACCTGGAATACACAAACATGGGAAAGGATGGGCTCAAAGCATATTATTCGTGATGCAATCTCTGCACTGAATGTCTCAGCTGATGGAAAGTTTCTTGCGTGGTACATAATCTAATCTGTATTTTCTAGTACTTAAAGATGGTCCCATTGTCTTTTTTCTTAAGCTACCTGGAAGCATGTGGTGACTTAATTCTCGTGGTTTACTTGCTATATGAAAGAGAAAAAAAGGACAGGGTCAGACCTCAACGGTATGCTTTTAGCCTTTTACAAGAACTTACTTCTTCTGTTTTGGTGGGTTGATATGCAGCGGAACAACTTCAGGTGACATTGTAATTATTAATTCAACAAATATGAAGATTCAGACAATGAGCAAAAGAGCTCACCTTGGCATAGTAACTGCTTTAGCATTCTCCCCTAATTCAAGGTTTGAAATTAATGTATCTATTTTTTCTTGCTACTAGAAATTTTTTGAGAGCGAGTCTTGGAGCAGCAGTAAGGTTGCTCCTTGTGACCGAAATGTCACAGGTTTTAGTCTGAAAAACAATCTTTTTGCAAAAATGTAAGAGTAAAATTGCATACGATCGACCCTTACCCTACCCTCACAAGTTGGGAGCCTTGTGTGTTGGGGTTTGCCCTTTATTAGAAATTTGTTGTCTTATGCCCTGTTTGAAGGTAGTTTGTGGCTTCTGTATTCAGGGCCGTGGCTTCTGTATCCATGGATTCAAGAGTGACGGTAACAATAATCGAAGAGAAGAAAAATGGTATGTGCATATTTCATGATTTGTTGACATGATAACTTTATAACATGTTCTTACATGGTTTACTGATCTATAATTGTTTTGCGGAACTCAATATTTGGTGTGGTCCTTTTAACCTATCAGTCTGTTGATTTAGTTAACCTGGAACATTATTGGCCGAATTTTTTTTGAATGACAAAACTTTTCAAAAAAGTTAGCACTTACATTGCTTACGGATCCATGGCTCCTGAAAGTGATGAATTTTATAGTCATATTTGTGCCTGTTCAGTAATCAGTACTGTGTTATGAATAACACTCTGTATTAGTATTAGACTATTACATTTTTAAAGCATGCTTGTGTTTATACATGTGGTCAGCCTAAAATTTTTGAAGTCCTGCTATACATGAAATTGGGCCGCTTTTCATTAGCTTAAACTTCTGGGGAAATCAGTAATCCAACATGATATTATAGTGTGGCTGTTTGAATATTCATTGGTTCAAGTTCCATAAGCTCCTTGCCATATTTGGGTCGTGTGCATTCTGACAGTTCTATTCAAATTTGATATATTCGGAAAGATTAAAGGATAAAAAACCTCACCTGGATTTGATCAAAGGTCGAAGGTTCTTGGAAACAACTTCCATATTTAATCACCCCCTTTCTCCTCCTCCAATAAAAAAAAAAAATAAGTAAATAAATAAGACAAGAAGCTATCATGAATTAGAGATTCATACTTCAATAAGATAATAATTTGCCAAATGGATGTTGTATTGATCGTGTATCAATTGGAGTGATCCATTTAGCACATGACTGACTGACTTTTCTTTTCTTTTCTTTTTCTTTTTTCTTATTTGAAGGAGGGTTGAGCTTGTGGATTGCAGTATTTATCATCCTACTTGCAGTAGTTGCTTACTTCCTGAAAGTTGAAGGAATTGGAAAGTGAAGGTTTCAATATTACTTTAAATATAAAACATTTATTGGTAGCTAAACCGCTTTATGAATGCTACTGGTTAGTTTTGATGCATTTCCATTTTTTGTGGGGTTTGTAGATAATTTTTCCTATTGGCATCATTCAGAATGGTTGTTATATAGGAGTGTATCTATATAATGCCTTGTTACATAGACTATATCTCTTCTACTCAAGCGGCTTTATATACTCACCATCAATACATTGCAGGATTCATTATGACATGGCTTTTGCTCATTCTGCTGTATTTTATTTTATTTTTAAGATATTACAATCTAGAACAGAATATGGATAATGTATTGGCAAGAATGTTCTTAGACAATGAAAAAGTAATTTAAATGTGTCACCATAAAGTAATTTAAAATTAAAAAGAAATTAAATTTATTTATAAAAGTGTCATTAATAAATTCTCATAGTTATAAAATTACCACCACAAAAACGGGAAAACCAAAAAAACAACTTTTATGAACATCTCTAGGTTGTTCAACATCTGTAGTTTTTAAAACTATAAAATTTATTATTTTGGGGAGTTATTTTACGAAACAAACATTTTCAAACATGTTATTTTACTCTTTAAAAAAAAAACTCAAACTGTTTTTAAAAATAGAAATCAAACCTGCCTAAGATTGTAGTGCTTTTTTCTTGAAATTAAAAGAGTGTGTTAAAATATAGTGGAATGATCCGATTACAAATATTTTTTATAAATTAGAGTAACTTGTAACTATCATCTATGACAAACTCTCCTCTAGTCCAACGAACGAACTCCCTTGTATGGTGGCCTTCGGCCAACAGACATTTTGTTTTGATATCCCAAGTCCCAACATTCTACATTTTGGCTCCTTTAAATTTTATGTTGATATGGATTCTATTCTCTTATCAAAACTCAATTCTTTTTTGGATAAAATCTCTTTTCTAGACATTAAAACTGTCCTAGATCGATGTAATACCCACAAACTTAAATAAAATCATAATTTTTTTGACAAAGACCAAAAGGTATATAAAAAATTTAAGTAAAAAAAAAACTAAGAAATAAAGCATTTGTACAATTTTACATCACATCAAAAACACTTCTTAATTATATAAACATGACGAGTAGCATCTTGGCTTTAATCTTGATTTATTATTTCATGTAGCTAAGTTAGGGGAATGAATCCTCTCGTACGTAAATAACGTCATATATAAAATTTGTATTTATATATATTTTTCATAATATTCACAAATGTTAATTAGTTCCTGCCTAATGCTTGTAAGGACACACAATTTACACATGAATATGGATCTCAATTAAATAATCTTTGGTTCTTTTAGGTTTTTTAGGGCAATGTCGATGACTTGATGGGTATTAGGAGAGGCATTGCCTACAGTTCAGCTACACCAGCTTGGAATACGCTTGTTCAATCTTGCGACTATAGTTAAATTATTCTATATGTCCATATGGTGTAGAAGTTTTAATATGGTTTAAATATTTTTAACCAATTTCAAGTTCCTATAATTTAACTTAAATTTAATTAACTCTTCATTAATTATAAAATTTTATAATTAAGTCCTTAAAATGTATAACAACTAAACAAAATATCTTGCAAAAAATTATAAAGCCAGGCATTAACTAATAAATATCTATTTAAATTTTTACAAATATATCATTAAAAACATTTAAATTACGTAGATCTATTTGAAAGTTCAATAAAATTATATAGGGAAAATATGAACTTACAAATATAAATAAATAATCTTACACTAATTTTTAACCATTAATCTCCTTGTATTCGATAACTAACATAACAAATAAATTAGCACATTTAAATGGCTACTTTATATTGTATAAAATAATCCAGCCCCAGTTATAAAGTAATTTATCCTATGACTAACTAACCACACGAGGGCCCAAAATAACTCCCTAAGTATCTAGGCATTATTTATGAAACTGAACTTCAGTATAAAGACTAGTTTTGGTTCAGCTATTTAGAAGAAAAAAATAAGAAAAAAGACGTTCCAGTTTTTAAAGTGTTTAAATGACCACGAAATTGTATTACAAGAATTTCAGCTTTTCGCATAAATCTATTTTTGTATAATATTATTTAGCCGTGAAAATTTCAAGCAAACATTGAACCTTGGAACCAGCTACAAACTCTTCTAATACGATGCAGCAAAGCAGTTCGCTGAATACGGATTCATTTTCTAGCTTGGTCATTAAGGTCTTTAGGTGTGTTGAGCCATAAAAATTATTTCATTTTTGACAAAATGAAAGCGAGAAGTGGGCAATGGCTCCATAATTTGTAACTCATTTTCACTACCAAATTATTTACATATGGATTAATCAACATTTAAATTAATATTTGAAATTGATGAACCGCAATGCATCTACACTCAAGGGATTAGTGACTGTAGTTAGCTTATATGGACTCGCCACGTAAAAAACTTGAGCCCTGTATACGGAGGTAACTAGACAAGAATGCCAATGCATGATCCTGAAAACTTCGAAGACCATCATTGACGCCTCCTTTGATACAGTGAATAACCAACAAGGGCAGACATCAGAAATGTCCATAGAACCTGCCCACAGTATCAAATAAACAAAATAAACAAATTAATAAAAACAAGGTAACAGTTACAGTGAATACAAAGTCAGCAACCACTTTGGGGAATAGGGTTTCGGGAGTACCGTATTTAGAGCAAGCCACCTTTCAAGCCTTCTAATCCTTGATTGCATCTCCTCAATAATCCCTTCAATTGGAGAGTCTACCCTACTTGGTGACGACTCTGAAGCAGAGCTACATCCCTGTTTATTCCAACATATGTAGGCAAAATTATAATGCCCCAAAAAAATGGTATTATTACACACTTCAAAATGTAAAAAAGGCTTGGTTCATCAAGGAATGCAGTAGTTTTGGATCAATGGAGGAGTCTGGAGCTGTGTGGGTGTGCATTGCATTAGCATGACACAAGATGTGTCGAATAGAAAGGAGTACTAGAGTAGATCCCTAGGTGCTATACAGTGAACGACTCCGGATGTTTCGTGTTCTTGGCTTCACTATTACATACGATAAAGATATGATGCATAAGCATTCACTTTTCAAACACCAGTTATGCACTTATTTATATGCACACTGGTTCGCTAATAAACTAAACTTATCCCAGGCATAGATCCAACCTTCCTCAATTGAAAGATGTATGCATCCAACTAGCATAAATGAAAAATCTCATTGGTTTTTCTCTACCGTTTAATGTTTAACTGTGAATCTCACAAGTGGCTGTATTTCAAAGAAGTGTTTACACCAGTTATGCAAAGAGGAATGGAGTTAAATACACAAATGGCCAGTATTTGATTGAGCCCCAAAAAGAGAGACTAAAATCTATTCAAAGAGAAGACTACCTGAGACTGAATAAATTCAACAAGCTCTAGCAGTCTTGCTGATTGCTGAGAAGGAATCCCACCAGAAGTTCTCTCTATTGCTGGTAGTCTTTCCAAAATTATTTCAAGATAACTCTATCAAAATAACAAACAAGAACAATAATAAGTTGACCATGATCCAGACATCGTGACAGATTTGATGTGACAGATTTGATTGATCCAGCACCTGCAATATGCACCAGATACAAAAGGGGAACTATAATAAAGCAAGAAAGCCAATACCTTAGTAGTATATGAACCATCCAATTTAAGCATTGAACCTGCTGCTGCCACCGCATCTTTATTAACACCCTTTATCTGAATGTATGGGCCAGAGACATCTTGTAGATGATCAACCTCAATTAGAATCTATCCCAGAAAAAAAAAAGAATTACAACTTTAATGGCAAATTAAAAGCTGCTTAGCTATACATAAGCCCCGAGGTGATCTTGTAAAGTGACCGTCCTCCAGCAGAATATCATAACTCAATTATTCCAATATGCATGTTCATTGTTCAACAAATTTGAGTAGTGTTGCGAAAGGAAATCAAGGAACTGGTATAACAAAATAACTGACCAGCAAGTGATTTTTGTAGTTGCGAATGTGCTACTATGCTCATTCATCAAAGAAGAATTTATGCATTTCGCAGATATCAGGCAATGGTCCCACCATGGATTACCATTCTATGTAGCTTCCAACCTATATAGCACCGACACCGACACGTGACACACGACACGACACCGTACGACACTCCTAGGGGTGGTAAACGAACCAGAGGCCTTTGGCTCGGCTCGTGAAGACCTGAGCTTACATGTCAAAATTTGGTTGTTGGAGTCAGACTTGGACTTGTATAAAAGCTCGTTTAATAAAAAGGCCTCAGGCTCTAATTCAAAAGCTCGGCCTTAGAGCCTCTCAGGCTGGCCTAATATATTAATTTTTATTTTATTTTATATTTTTTATACTACTTGTAATAGTCCTATCTCTCTCTCCTCAATTCATTTAACTCCATTTTATTGGTTAAACAGACTTTTTGAATGATTTTGTTCTATATTATGCTATTTGGATATACATTGAATTTATGAATATTTATAGAATTACTAGAGATGTTGATTGTATAATCTGTTTGGATAAATCTTCGTTGTCTTATTTTTTTTAAACAGGCTAAACGAGGCTTTTATTTTTTGTAAATAAGCCAGGCCACAGGCCGATAATTATATTCATAACAGGTAACAGGCTTGATCAGGCTGACACATTTAAACACAGGCTTAGCCTTTTAAGACCAGAGCTTAGCTCGGCTCGGTCCGGCCCGACCCGTTAACACCCTTAGACACTCCTACACGTCAATTTTAAAAAAATCTATATTTCGACATGTTGGGACACATGTTAATATTAAATAATATTTTTAATTTATATAAGTGTATATTACATTTCATATTCAATAACTTACATCAACATCAACATCAACAACACCTTTATCCCAAATTAATTGGGGTCGGTGGTAGATGAACCCACATGAAAGATACAAAACGGTTGAAAAAAAAGTAAAAATAAAAATAAAAATAAAAATAAAAAATAAAAAAAATAAAAATAAAAATAAAAAAGAAATAAATAAATAAATTAATAAATAAATAAAAATACACAAATAAAATAATAAAATAAAATAAAATAAAATAAAAATATATGTATATATAAATAAATAAAAGTAAAAAAGAAAGGGACAAGAAGAAGTGGGGGAAATGAAGGGGAAAAGGACTAAAAAGGGACCATCTGGAACATAGGAATAACAGCGGGTCTAACCCTCCACCATACTTAT